AGTCGTATCTGCATTGACCGATGACTGCTTGGCAGAGCTGTTAGTCGTTTTTTGCTGAGGAGATGACGACATACTGTTATGGTCATTTGGGGAAGTACATATGTCAGGCACTGGACTCGTGGGATCAGTAGCGTCCATTGTTTCATGTTGGTTAGCAGTTGATACAAACCGTTTACGAGAATAAGTATCCTTAAGTTCATTAACATTCTTGTGGACAGTTCCGACTTTTCCTTCAAGAGCATTTAGTCGTTGTTTAACATCATTTTCATAACTTTGCATTTTGGATTTAAATTCAGAGACTTCGTGTTCTCTTTCTTTTAACAGTAATTTTACATGTTTTAGCTCATTTTTGGCTTTTGCCTCACAGTCTCTGATTGTTTGTTCACTTTGTTTGTATTGCTTAATTTGTTTTTGTAGGTCTTTAATTTCAGCATTTTGTAGCTCGAGGGTTTGAGAAATTTCAGCGCATGTTCCTTTAATTGTAAATATATAAGACATCATGGTCTCCATCATTGAGAAGTGGGTTGACGTAGTCGGTTGACTATGTTGATTGATGGAATCAGGGTCGCAAACATCATCATTTGAAATAAATGATCTAGCGAAGCGTGACGTATGTTCATTGTCAACTATTGGAGTTTTCGTGAATATTGACATGAGGTCTGCAACACTATTGCCTTCTGTGAATTGATAAAGTGCGTAGCAATCACTAGCAAGTTTGCTTTTGCGATCTTCACTCCGTCCACCTTTCCTTGCTATCAGCTTGAATTTAGGTGTTTCAGAGCGTTCCATTCGTGCTCTGATGAGTAGATAATCCCTGAAACCATCTATAGATAGGTTACTGTGCTCACACAACGACAACAGTCTTTCAATATACACATCTTTCGGCAGTTCCTGCAATGTTTCGAAAAGTTTATCCCATGTACGTTGTGCACTTGGGATCTGGCTTTGGGTTTCATCTTCACCAGCGCTCGAGTCAGAATATTCATGGTCATTGTTACTACATGCCATCTTTCCAGCATTTATGTAGATTTTTTTTTATTTCAATTGAAAGAGGATAGCACTGGGCTTACACCGTTCCATTCCATTTCAGCAACGCATTGAGCTACTCAGGCCGATGTGACCTCGGGTATTGTTTTAATCAGCAAAAATTATCAAAATAGCTATATTATAGTCTATTCCACTGGCCACTGTGATTTTTTCCGTAACTGGTCTTTAGTAAGTTAGAATATGTGGTTAGCCTACTAAATAGTTAGGAATGGCGTTTGAATGTAGAGAATCAGTTCAAAGGATTTATGTAAAAGCGTTTTACCGTTTTTCCTGTCGGCCAATGTACACTAATATATATCCAAAATGATCTCGGAACTGTCCGATTTAATTGTGCCCGAAGCTCCAAATCCTAGTTTGATCTAAATAAGCACAATTCCATATTTAATTCCAAATCTGCAGCAAAAAATATAAACATGCCACGGTCACGCATGCGCATGCGCATCACTTATCTTACTTACATGTATAAATATAAGACTGATTTTTATAAGCTTAATGGATAAGAATAAGACAGTTTTTTTTTATTAATGACAGTATACCCGGGCGTCATATGATAACCATGGTAGACACACCACGTCAACTACGCACGTCATTTCAGCATGCACCTTCTACCTCTTACACCTAATCGGGTTGAAACGTGAACTTAACGGGATTCTTGAAGTCTTCAAAACCTAATAATTCATCTCAAAAGGTGTAAACTATCGGTTGCCATTACCAAATTTGTAATTTGTCATTGAACTGTTCAACATGCAAGTGATTCATTTCAATTACCATCAAGATATTTATTGCCTTTTCTGTCATGTGTTTTGTAGACTGTTTCTTGTTTAGTATACTTACTTAGACTATCGTACTTTCCCCAATCTACTAGAAATTGTGGAATAAATTTGAAACCTGACACTTATTACAATATACGACACAGTTTAGTAGGTATAACGTTTTGGTATAATTGTATTGTCTGTCTGGATATCTATTTCTATTCCGAGAGTACATATTATGGCACGATTAATAGATTTATGACCGGCCGTTAGTAGATTTTTTGAGATGGTTTGCGCATCAAATCTAATTGGTGTCAGGTTGAACCGTATCATATTTAAAGTGATCAATGCAAAATTCAATGTTTATGACTCTAATGCACATTTTCCGTTATTTTAATGTTTTGTATCTATGAAACTAATGATTGTAGAATATAGAATAACGACCACAATTAACAGCAGCCAATTTCTCCATTTAAAAACGAAATAGATATTAACCCCCTGAGACACTATACACCTTGGAGCATGCAGTCAATTTAGATAACGGATACCCTTTGCATTCGTTCTTATGAATAAAAGAGAGCATCTCTAGCTAGACTCTTCGCGCAGGGATAACAGAAGACAAAGATGACAAAGATGTTTCGTGATGCATAATTATATAACTGCAAATACATAAAATATTATCACCCATAAAGTATTTCAAAACCAGTCACGCATTGCCTTTAAATCAATATTTGCAGGAGCAAGCCTGGAAGTTTTCTTTAATAGTGGCGGACTTTTTCAGAATTTTCTAAATGTCAATTTTGTTTGTTCATAAAGAAGTCAAAATTCCTTTGGAATTCCTTGCAGTAGCAAGTTCATGATGTCCGCCTGAACTTTTGAATCCCAAACAATTCATGTAAACCCTGGGGACGGGGGCAATAATCTCTTACATCCTTACCATAAATTTCAAATTTCCTGCCGAGGCCCTAGGATCTTTAACATTATTGAATTGAAACCAACGCAACGTGAGTTAGAAGCACTTCTTGTTCCATCAAGGTAGGTCATATGATTGAATGAATGTACAGTATGTTTGAAGCACCTCATAGTTAGGTGTTAAATACCCGACGAAACGCCATTACACCGTATCGATTTTATAGCTTTCACATGGTACATAGATTACCTTACTATCATTAATTATGGGTTTTATGTTTTTCCAATTAAACAGACAATTACTCTCAAGTACATAAAAGTACAACTACTCGAACATTGAAACGGAAACACTGGAACAAAATATATAATTTACACGGTTTACGAGATCCATGATAATCTTGGGTATCGTCACGTCATCGATATATAGCCTAATACGATCTTCAGGCATTTAGTGGCAACCATCTATTTTTATTTGGCTATTTTCAAAGGAAAAATCAAAACATGAATTTCCGACCTAATGAAACCAAGGAAATCTTCAGGCATCAAGTTACAACTATCAGTTTTTGTTTGGCTATTTTCAAACGAAGAATCAAAACATGAATTTCCATCTAAAGAAAACGAGGAAATCTTCAAGCATCAAGTGCCAACTATCTGTTTTTGTTTGGCTATTTTTCAAACGAAGAATCAAAACATGAATTTAACACCTAATGCAACCGAGGAAATCTTCAGGCATCAAGTGGCAACCATCTGTTTTTGTTTTGCTATTTTTCAAAAGAAGAATCAAAACATGAATTTACGACCTAATGAAACCTAGGAAATCTTTAGGCTATTACAAGCTGTCCAATAGGAAGTGTACAATGAATAGAGCTTTTTAATTATGTTTATTTGAGAAGACCTATACGCCAATCATTTTGCCATAAATAGCATGATTCATTTCCAAGAAACAGCGTCTTCTATCTTTAAGGCTTCCTTTTCGACTTGTTCTTACATTTCTCATAATAACGGCCATGTAAAGTTCCTACGGGAAATCGTTTACTATTAGTCTTTTTTGATAAATCAAAATATTTCTGTGAATTTTTTTAAATGAGAAGATATACTGATTTTTGTGAAACGATAAGCAACGTTAAATACCAAGTTGAATTTTGTGAACAATTTTTCTACTTCTAGTAATTTTAAATGAAGAGTTATTTATCTGTTCACAATGAATCACCTTGGACAGTAACGCGTATTCACTTTCGTCAATTTACATAGGAATTATTGGTTTTATGGAGTTTTTCATCAAGTTACGGTGTTAGTTGATAAAAGCATTGTTATATTTATTTGCCGCGTTGTTATGATCTTTAGTGTTCCGGATATCAGCAAAATAAGATCTACGTGTAAAATGTCTTCTCGTCTCAATACTGATAGACATCGTTTTGTTTACGAGGAAATTGCGTGTTGTTGTCATCATCTTATTGATTTAAGAGATATTAATGAAAAATGTATGTCATCTTAATTCAAGTCGATTAAAAGACATTTCTTACTCATATATCGAATTATTTTGAACAGTCAGTGTTGTCTTGATAGGCATCTTGTCATGTTGTAACAACGTGATTGGTTTTTCTCGGAATTTTACTAATTAATGAAACGTCATTGGATGATATGTTACATGCATGATTTCAGGTAGACCTCCATTTTGAGACAATTATATGGAGCCATATGTCTCCCTTTACTTGTTTTGTTTTGATTGAAAGTATTTTGTTTGAAAAAAACAGATTTGTCATTCAGATAACACAGTCTGACCTTTATTCTTGCAATAACAATTAAGACATTAATATACATCATTGAATCAATTTCCAAGTTTCTCTAACTCAATTTCCTTAGCGGAATTCTAGCCAAATCCCAAGTGTTGGTATTAAAACTGGATATTGCTTCGCTCTTTATAGATGCCAAAGGGGAAATTATGGCCAACAAGTGTAAAATGACTGCCCCTCATTATTTGGGTTCCAAGCTGATCTTTGACCTACTTTTGACCCAGACGCCTGTCCCACCAGGACCGTCAAACCTGCTAGGCCCTAAGAAATAATCTAAACTAAGTCGATTGTCAATTCATAGATACAGTAATCATGCATGGTAATCATCACGAGCCAAAAATAAATAAACAAGTAAAAGTAAACAAAAAAGTTAATTTGAAAGATTCATGCATTCTAAAAGTTTAGAAAAACTTTGGAATATGTATATCATGTTCCATATTACAAATCTCTCTCAAATTGTCATATGAACAAAACATAAATGCTGACAAAACATACTCACACATGACTTCCCCAAAATACCAAACATCCCTCGAGTAGACGTCCACGAGTGAGGGAGGCATGGCTATAATCAGGACAAGGAGGTCAGCAATGCTCAAGTTGACCAGGAAAAAGTTTGTTGAACTTTTCATATCCGGGTTCTTTGAGACCACGAATATCACCAAGATATTACCCAAAACACCAACCAGGAAAATCAACACGTAGAAGAACGTGGTTGCAATGACTATATACTTGGGGATCGTTGGGACAACTGACCTCCCTCTGGGCCTTTCTGTTGTATCATTGGTGCGACGCTCAACTTGTACTTGGATCGACCCATTTTCGGTATATTTGGTGTTTGTGCTTTCAGACTCCGTTGTGGCTGTGTCAGTATGCACATCATTCATTGGATCTGTATTCACTGTTGTGTCATACGAAGTGACATTCCCCTTTATCTCACTCGATGTTGGTAGCACCACCAGTGAAAATGCCGTCCACAGTATAAACACATTCATTGTAGGTGGCACTAGAATACCTTTACCAGTAATACTAACTTAGTCTTATCAAGCAATCGACCACCTAGAGTTCTTGCATCTAAAATGTCTCATATTCTTTTGGCATATCTAGTTCTTAAAGTGGGTCATAAGTGTGCTAACCCATGCGCAGCTATTATTGAAATTGAGGATATGCGTGCAAACGCTGTCTTGTTGCTTACTTGATGCAATCCGATGAATTTGTTTATCCTGACATTTATTTTCAATTGTCTCAATAAGAAGTTCATAACTTCCATCAGCTTTTCCCGACAACTCCAATCAGAGTCTAAAAAGTATATGCTTTCTTAATTAATGTCACGGTTGAAGTCCAAACAGTGATTAAATATTTACTGGTAACGTGAAAAACTCATATCGAATATCCCTCAAAATGAGCTGTAACTTATAAGTGTCAAATTTTGATTAACAATTATCCTGTTTCCCGGCTTCAGTTCAATGTATTACGTTGACGTAGCTAAAGATATTCTTGCTTCTAGCGAAGCATCTAATTTGATTCTTCCACGAGAGTTCCTGAGAAAGTGTACATTACTACGTGATATAGCACATCAACTGTTCGCTGTGTAGTTCTGCTTGCTGGTTCTCATCAATTTCGGAAAGAACTTGGCCCATGTAACCTGAAGCAGAAATCAAAGAAGTGCTTAAAAACATTCAATAAATATAGGTTATTTACTGGGAGGGATTGGATATGGGTTTTATTCCGAGGGGCAATATGATATTGACCGAAGGGTGATATGATATTGGCCGAGGGAGCGCAGCATTCGAAGTGGAAGTTGGTGTATAAAAATAAATTTCGGATAAGCAAAACAATATGCGCGTATCTCTAAACATCTGCATTACCGTATCAGTCCATCATCAGTGCCCATCGTTTTTGGCATGATAGTGTTAAGATTATGTACAAGCTTGAAAGGCCATATTTAAAAAGTCAACGTAAAAGCTATATTTATTAACCCCTAAACACGATTTCAAATACACGAATGATCCAAAACACTATAATGACACCTCAATTGAAACAATTCATTAGAGCAAGCCATGAGTTTATGCAGAAACAGCAACCTCTACCAATTGCTTTAAATCACAACAGGTCGGTACATTTGAATATTAGGATAATTATAAATGTTTGTATATGTAGAAAGCTTTCTTGATAACGCAATGGCATTTGTTCATTCAATATCAACAAATGCTAAGTGAGTTCTTTTTACTATTTAGCCGAAACTTGTTTTCCGGTCTGGAATGTTATTTTTTTTTATAAGGTGGCATTACAAGAATTACAGTCCGATGCCATCGACTGGGGTATTATTGATTATAAATTAAGTGGAGATCAATTATACATTAATATAAATTTGCCGTCGGGGTTAATTTGTAAATAGCTATTTGGTATCATCAAAGCATGCGACTAATTAAAAACCTAGTGATCGAACTCCTGAGAGGGTATGTACTCGTAGCACTGAAGCTCCATTGACAGATCACGGACGCAAAGAAATAAAACTTAACCTTAAAAAAAAAAAAGATCACGGACGCTATTATACAATATGCCAATGTGCATCATACTGATCATTTGCTTTGTCGTTGTTTTCACAATTCCCGAGGACTACTTTTGGCCAAGGGATGATTTAAGTTCTTTAAAGATGAATTGGCAATAATGATTAGTTTAGCGAGGACATCATTTGCATTTCGCCAACTGCCACCAATGTATTTGACTTTGGCAGTCTATGTATTGTATATTCATATGTATTAACATGAAATAAAAAATATATAAAATTACATTTCGGGAAAAATTGCAATGACAATCCATCCATCTGAACTACAAACGGATTTGTTTTTACGTCGTGACGTGTTTCACAACTTCTTTTTGTGGTTCTGTTCTCAGCGTTGAGATTAGTCATGCTTCAAAACCTTGGACCACCCCTTATCTACTTTTTCAGGGTTGTATTGAGAAGGTGGAGTACACAGAGGGGGAGGGGGGTAAACAGTCCTGAAGTCTTGAGGCAAGACTATGTTGAGCTGATCAAGTAAGTTTTGATAACGATCAATTCTCGTTGGATGCAACTATCAGTCTCTCATTGAGCATCTCGTTGAATATTTTTCCGTTGATTAGCTTCCGATGATTTTAAAAGATACACGTCCAAATGTCAAGTAGCGAAGATCTTAAAGAATTCTTTGCCTCTCTAGCCTTCGAAGAAGTTCATACAACTAAGCAAACACAATCTTTAAATTTTAACAACAGTGCACACAGTTTCGCTGACTTTTCAAGAGCTGTTCAATCAGTTGCCATACATTAGTATTAACGCTCTGCATTGGCTCTTATTCAAGTCAACAGACATTGCTATTCGAAGCATCTTTAGTATCACGACTGGAGGAGACTTTGTCATAGGACGTGATAAATTACGATGTTTCTAGGCACATGTGCTAAATAATCTTATAAATGCTCCATTAACGTTCCGACTTGGATTCTGACGTAATTCTTGAGAGATATAGGCAGAGGCAGGATAAATCAAGATAAGTAACGTTATAAATATAAAAATGATATTTGCTTAATCATCCAGTGTCTTGTTTTATATTAAGTCAAATGAGAATACCTACTCAGGCGCCACGAATGGAATGAGAATTGAAGTTGTACGGCAATGGGAAGAAATGTTAACGTTCGCATAAATTGTGTAATTGTCGACAATCAAGTTGGGGCTACAGACCCCATTATGCCACTCCTTATATGGGGTAGAGGGGGCGTGGAATAAGAATGATTGCTACAGGGCAATCAATATTGAGACGTATTCTTCCAGAATGTATTACTCTATATAACATTAATTTGTGACATAGCCGCCCTTAATGGCACACTAATTAGTTATTACATACGTCAGGGTAATTTAACAAAGGTCGAGACCACCTAATTCAAAATGTCATCCACTCATTCATATTTTTATGTTGGAATTCATTTATTGAAATAAATGGAACTGTCTCCATTTAAATTATTTATCAACTTGTCTTGATAAGATGTGGTTTATATCCACTTTTAATTCTGTCTGCTTCACTAAATATTCCCATCAACTGGAGACACCAAATTTGCAAATAGATTTGAAAGATATTTCCAGTCCAACAAAATTAAAGTTTACTGAAATAACTTTCGTAATATTTTAGAACAATCATTTTGCCTACGTTCGTCCGGGCGTTCGTCATACAAATGAAATATTATTGTCGTACTAAAGAAGGTTTAACGGAAGCGGTGCCTCTACTGATAGTACAATAACGTTATTTCGAAGGGCAATAAAGTGAAATATTGGACCGAGGGGCGTTCTGAAACAGCAAGAAAATCAAACGCACTGAACGATATCTAATTTCCCGGGGAAAATTGCCGGTCGTTTATGCATTCTTCACCGGCTATATTGACCGCCACTATGACGTCACATATTGCTTAAGTCGATATAGTAAAATGAATGCCTTCTTTAGCACTAAAACCCCTAGAACTAGCCCGGCAAGGTGGTAATTATAACTCGTGGACCCCAAACTGTCCCCAGATGGTTGCAACAATTCTAGTAAGAGCGATTGTTTTGATACAAAAAGACCATGGTAATAATTGCCGAAGCTAATCGTACTATAACCAACAACTTGAACCCGAGAGCTCAAGAAGCATGTAAAAGCATGTAGACAACAGAAAACTGGAAGGAAAGTTAAACAACAATTGAAGCCAACCAGAAACGTTGGTGATGCGATGGAGAATGAGTATGGAAAATCCAAATGCATGTGTTCACAACTTCTGCGATCACCCTGAGGAGATTCCGCATACCCGATTATTCGTCGAAGTTGATAAGAGATCAGAAAATGAGCGAGAAAAATAGCGAATACAAAACGGTCGTAATAAACAGAAATGTCGTTAAAGTACGAGTAGGCAGCAAATTACTCTGAAATGAAGCCGTTGATTTTGGATCTGTTCGAACCAACCATAAAAAGATACTTAAAACATGTCGACAAAGCTCTAATTAATAGACTAAACGGACATAAATTTCTTGAAATGAGCGCTCTCATGTCATCATTTTCCAAGGCACTATAAGCACAGATAAAAAAGAGCCGTTAAGCTTCTGTAATGCATTTTGGTCTTAGTGCCTGAAATATTTATCCTCATTTAATTGATCTCTTGTGTTTCAACAGAAATGACGTTGCCTTAGCAATATGTTGTGTCACAGATTGAACTAGTTTACTACAGCACCCTGGGTATAGTCTGTCACGTGACTTCATGGATGACGTGTGCGCGAGTGATTCGCATTTTCTTTCGCTTGAGGTTTGTAATCACACTTTTTACATGTTTTAAGATTTTGTATCTCTGTGAAACTTGTCCCGTACCATCAATGTCTGAAGACGATCTAATTCACCAAATATCTCATCCAAGCGTGTCCCGGTTAAAGAGAAATTCGCACTTTTGTGTCTCGCAAAATGACGTGTGCGCGAGTAAATCGAATTTTACGAAGGATGGGTGCGCGAGTCTAACATATTTTTATTCACTTGAGACAATTCTGCAAGCTAAGGCAGAATACAACTCACGTGACATTTGTTTTTGTCATCTTAAAGTAGTATGTTAAAGAATAGTTTGCTATTTTGTAGATGTTTCATGTATGGCACATACATGTCTACGTTTAATGACAATAAATGTTTTGAAATAGCTTGTAGGGCTGTCCGGCATTGCAGGTGAATTAAAATTTGAACCAAAAATTGAATTAAATTTTTGGCGGTCTCATAAAACCGGCAGCATATTCATTTATTGACATCCCATACAAGGGGGGGTCAGAGTTGTTATGTGGTTACTCGGCATCCGCCACGATCAGAACCATGTAAGGAATAGTAAGGGGAAGCCCATGATACCAAGTAATATCAAATAATTATAGGAGCTTCTAACTTCTTCCGCATCCCCACCCTTGGTATACGCAGCTGACAAAATGGATCGGTACGGGTCAAAAGCTGGACCGGTACGGGTTAACGGTTTTATTTGAATTTAAAACAGCTATCACTTGCTCAATATTGACTTCTTCGTATCTAAGTTGAAATATATGATCCCTCCGAATGATTTTAAGTACCCCCAAAGTTCACCCGTACAGGTCCAGCTTTTGACCCATACCGGTCCATTTCGTCAGCTGCGTATACCAAGGGTGGGGATGCGGAAGAAGTTAGAAGCTCCTATAATTATTTGATATTACTTGGTATCATGGGCTTCCCCTTACTATTCCTTACATGGTTCTGATCGTGGCGGATGCCGAGTAACCACATAACAACTCTGACCCCCCTTGTATGGGATGTCAATAAATGAATATGCTGCCGGTTTTATGAGACCGCCAAAAAATTAATTCAATTTTTGGTTCAAATTTTAATTCACCTGCAATGCCGGACAGCCCTACAAGCTATTTCAAAACATTTATTGTCATTAAACGTAGACATGTATGTGCCATATGAAACATCTACAAAATAGCAAACTATTCTTTAACATACTACTTTAAGATGACAAAAACAAATGTCACGTGAGTTGTATTCTGCCTTAGCTTGCAGAATTGTCTCAAGTGAATAAAAATATGTTAGACTCGCGCACCCATCCTTCGTAAAATTCGATTTACTCGCGCACACGTCATTTTGCGAG